GCACTGTCAACAGGAAATCTGAATTAGAGTCAATGGGAAGCCTGTGTACACAGTTTTTATTAGTGCATCTGTTACCACTAATCAGAACATATGCAAACCCTAGCCAGCACTGTCAACAGGAAATCTGAATTAGAGTCAATGGGAAGCCTGTGTACACAGTTTTTATTAGTGCATCTGTTACCACTAATCAGAACATATTCAAACCCTAGCCAGCACTGTCAACAGGAAATCTGAATTAGAGTCAATGGGAAGCCTGTGTACACAGTTTTTATTGGTGCATCTGTTACCACTAATCAGAACATATGTAAACCCTAGCCAGCACTGTCAACAGGAAATCTGAATTAGAGTCAATGGGAAGCCTGTGTACACAGTTTTTATTGGTGCATCTGTTACCACTAATCAGAACATATGTAAACCCTAGCGCCACTACAGAGTGCCCTGTAGAGGAAATGGAGTTATTTATATGTTTATCTTTCCATTGAAATAAAGTATTACATTCAGTTGTTGTTACTTAGAGGTGCCTGCACATTAGAGTCTGATTTAAATGTTTTAATTTCTTTTACACAGCCTTAATATATAAAGTATTAAAGTAACAACTAGCAAGATAATAAAGGGTTTAGCTGTTGTGGTAAAAAACGTATTACTCAGCCAGCACACAAAAAAAAAAATCAGACTTGAATTAATTAGGCAAGTAATAGTTAGCTTAAACTTTGTGATTTAGTTGTAACATCAAGAGATACAATGTATGCCAGATGAAAATGGCCTAAGAGTTGAAGTACTGTTGACTTTAGGGAAAATATGTACAGATTTATGTAGCTTTTCAGTAAAATTCTAAACCAAACAAACAATTTTGTAGACTGAGAAGTAACATATTAACTAAAGTGTTAAAAGCATGATTCCAATAAATAATATTTCATCATGTTTAAATATAAATTATTTTAAATTCATGATATATGATATCTGAATATATTTTTTTTTGTTGGTTATTAGACGTGGTGGGACAAGAAGATAAAACAGCTTGATTATCCCTTTTGGTTGACTTTTGTACCCAAGGTACTCTTGGCGTTAGTCATCAACGTACTTGATTCTGTATATTACCGCATAGCTCACTGGCTAAATGATAAAGGTAAGCCGGACATGAACATGTAATATCATTTTTCAGTCATTATAGTTATTTTTTATATAATTCAGTATTCATCCAAGTGTGAACTTTGGTGTTACGTCAAAACTAACTTTTGAGGATCTCGTGAAAAGCATTTTTTTTTAGTCACAAATTTCTATTCTCTGTGTCTGTACGTAATTTAAATAAAATATGTTTTTAGATATGTTCTGAGTTTTCAGTCTTGTATTTTAATATTGTGACCTTCTAGTGATCAATATATATTATTAGATTTTGTTCTGTTATCCAGTTTCATACGTATTAAGTTCTAAAACCTATAAATAATAATGATAATAAGCAGGCAGTCCATGTTAAATCACATATTCCACAGTTTATAATATATCTGTGAATTTCATTGTTAATGTTTAACATAGTAAGTTTAAAACTTGCAAACAGTGCCTGAAAAGTAACTAGTAAACAAGAGAAACTCCATGAATATACTGAAGTGTATAGTACACCAATAGTTTCATATATATAAATATTCTGTATCTTTGATCCATCACTAATTAAATCATGATTAAAACATAACATTCAAGGCAAACTAAAAACCATCTGTGCCAGTGAATTGATGGAGATAATATTTGGCACAGAGAGAATCAGTGTGACTGTAGCTGTACACACGTGTATATCAATCACTCTCGAACCAACACCCGCACTCTTGTGTGTATGCAAGGAGAATGGTGCTGTTGTAATCTGTTACTGCACTGTGCCTTTGTTGGGATCAGAATTTCTTTGTTTTTATCCTATAGTATAAAAACACCATTTTTAGAGCTTACTGTGAGTATCAGATTTCTTGATAAACTGGAAATCGACTACCACTGAATTCTTATAACCTAGGATTATCTGATGTCTGTTTCCAATAAAACTTACTCATTATGTTTTATGTGTTGAGCTTATTTCTAGTGATTTATATGTGTGTGTGTGTGTTTTAGATTGTATGAATATGTAAGTTACTTCGTAGTTCTGTATGCACCGTATTACTAACAATAATGTTTATCCTCTTACATGAGTAATTTTGGAATCCTTTCTGTATTAGTTTTATAATGTTATGAATTTTCTGTACATTAAGCCTTTGTAAGCAATCTAAGTGGAATATTACGACAGAAATTACTATTAAACTTTGATTTCACTATTGTTTGCTACCAGTGAGAAAAAACTTATGCTTGGGATTGTAAGTTCATAAAGTATAACAGTTTCAAAATACATGTAATGTAAGAATCCTTTACACCTGTTGAAAGTATTACAATTAATGTTTAGTCCTTACTATGATATTTCATTAATTTAGTATTTGTGAAATTATAAACTCACATTTAATAAATACTTATGTGTACATCTATGTTTCCTGACAGTAATGTGTATTGATGGCATTATTTCAAGTGGAATAACCCGATCATTCTGCAGGCCATACCCACAGAGTTTAGGTTAAAAGCTTTGAGAGAAATATATTTTGTTGCTGTATCACAAAAATTCTGCTATTTTGTCAGATATCATTGATGTTATTCTATTCCTCGTGATGTGTGTACATGTTTGTGTTTATTTCAAACAATGCTCTATACATCTTTCATCTGTTTGTCTGTATGTTTCTCAGTTAATTATTTTTACATCCTCTGTTACAAATATTAAACAATTTATTTTGGTGTGAACAAATTTACTTCTAAAGTTTTAATGTGGTTGTATGTACAGCTGAATGATTAGTGAAATATGCTAATTGACTTATCATCAAGCCCATTAATTGATTACATTCAATTAATTGATTACTCTCACATGAGACTTGGATAGTTGAAATAATCAAAAAACATTAATTTCAATTAATTGATTATTTTTGTGATTTGAGACATTAAGTTGAACAACCTTCAATTAATCAAAAATAATACTGATAAATTATAATGGCAATATTTAGAATACTTGATTAGTTGGAACAGTTAAGAACAGTAATAATTGGAAATACTAATTTTGACTAGTTGATAATTGTGGTGACATTAATCAGTTTAATCGTAATATTTGATTAATCTGTTATTTTAATTAACACTAATCACAGATGTTCATAGGTAATCGAGTTACGTTCTCAGCTCTAGTTGTATGTAACTGTGGTACCAGAATGCTGAATAATGCCACAAGTGATAGAGATTTTTTATGTAGTCATAATTCCAAAATATACTTACCCCCTCTCACACTTACAGCTATTACTTGACTGCCAGAGTTTCTTTCTTTTCCCATCTAAGCATTGGTCTGATTTTTTCTCGCTTGCTCCAGTCATTCATACCCAACTGTATTGCCCTTGGCGATATTTGTCTCGTGACACTCTACACCTACGTCAATGCACCCTCTATCCTGGTGCTGTATTTAAGCACCTCATTCAGATAATGTTATCACTTTTTCTCGACAAAGCATCACTAATGGTGATGGCCCAACACTGCTTTGCTATAACAAAACAAACTTACCTGAACTTCTTCTTCTTCGAGAGTGGGATGTTTTGGGTCTTTTCCTGGTTGCTTTTGAGCCTGCATCTCACTTGATGGCTGAAAGGTCTGGGAGTTAATTGTTAGTTTTTTCTCCATACACAGACATTGTGGTTCATGCAGGAAGGTTTACTTCTCAGTTATGTGAAGGGACAGTTATGCCTTATCTGACACAGTTGTCGAATCTTCATGATTTAGCCTACCACTGTCAGGTGTAAGCATTTTCAGACTCTCAACTAATGCATCTGGTCCTTGAATTTCAGGGTTCTAAAGCAGAGTTTGTAGTTAACCTGAATAGATCAATGTCCCCTGATGGGACAGAGTAAGTCTACAGGTTTACAACTCTAAAACACAACCTTTTATTTTCCTTTCATTTCACTTTGTTGGAAGACTCTCAGGATTACCAACTTCATTGATGACGAGCTGGAACCATTGTTAGCATACACATTGGTTCAGTTGTTGGCTTCTACATTCATCCCTGTTGTTGTTGAGGTCTCGAATTTCATTGGCTCCAACAGGAGGTCGTAGTTCTGCCCCTAATTGTGGGTCTTTATTCACGACACCAACTCCATGGTACATTGGTACCCAGAATAGATTCTGTCTATATCCAAGGGTTCCGCTGCTCGTGATTGGTGATTATTGTATGATTTAGAACTTAGTTCTAGGACTGTCAAAGTTTGGTTGGTCTGGGGGTAGTAAGAGAGTCATGCTAGTTCTTCTGAGGTTTTATTCCCGTCGATCGTTGGGCCTAAGAAGACAGTAGATTGGTGTCCAGTCATTGATCTTTCTCATTGATGCCTAGATTCTCCAAGGTTCACAAGTTACTCATTCCTCAATCTGAGATGACATTTTTTTACCAGGATTGTGAATGTCCAAATTCTTTGTAGTCAGCTCATATCTGCACATTGTCATAGTTGTGGCATCCCACCACTGTCTGTATTTTTTTTGTGCACAAAGGTCAGGTGCTGCAGTTCCAGGTTTTTTACCTTGGGACTCACATCTGCTTCATATGAGTTCTGCTGTATCATACAAGATTTTTCTCGCCACCTCCATTCCACCACGCTGTGCACATACCATTCTATAGACGACTAATTACTGCTGGCACCAACTGGTCAGTTGTCAGAACATCACATCCTGATTCTACTTTTAGAAACAACCAAGGCAGGCTTCATTCTCAGGGCTGAGACATAAATTCTTGTTCCAATTTAATATGTCATCAGTCTGGGTATTTTTTATTTTTCATCTTGTCTCTTAGTCTGGCTTAACTGACTGCAATCCAACTCCATGGTATAGAAGAGGATCTTACCTCTCCTTCTCCCACTTCACAGAAGGTTCTTTATCTTCTGGTAATGTGGACATAACTCGAATCCCTCATACCTTAGGATCAGACCACAAGAGATCCTTTTAATGTTTTTTATGCAACCAAGAGATCATAAACAACGATTCACTGGATCCCCCAGTTTCCTTAGTTGGGATCATTCTATGATCTCCAGTGGTTGTTAAGTCATGACACTACTAAGATATGGGTTCCTCTACCACCACCTTGTCTAGATTTTCATCTCTTCACGAATGCCTTGCTTCAGGGATGGGGTGCATATACCAACAGTCAGGAATTCACAGACAATGAGACTTCCCTACACAATGTTTTAGTCCTTTTTGCTTTTCAAAGGTAATTCCTCATAGTCTGGGCTTATTAAGGGGAAAATTGTCTGGCTTCACTGTGACAATTATGTGGTGGTGTCTTGTGTTTTTCATTGAGGAGGTACTTGGCTCTGGGCTTCTTGTATCTCCTTTCTCGGAACCACTCCTATCATATCATCCTACTAACTTGCCATGTTCCACAGGTGATGCATGTGGTAGCAGATCAATTGTCTTAACCCAAACAGAATAGATGCTGCATTGCAAGGTTCTGTTGGATTGGCTCTCATTTTTCAACTGTTATTGGGGGTTGACCTCTCATTGGAACACCCAACTACTGGCAATTTGGTCTCCAGTACCTCACCTTTGGGCTTTGGCAGTGGATGCATTCCATCAGGACAGGACAGGATTACAGCTCTAGGCCTTCCCTCCAATTCATATCTTACCTAGGGTACTAAATATGATTTGTTCTAACCCATTGTCAGATTATGTTGATAGCACCAGATTGGCAGCTACACCCTGGTTTCTGCTTCTGTAGTATCTTCCAGATTGTCCACCTCTTCCATTTCTTCTTAGGCCATCTCTGTAGAGGTAGCCATGATCTAACATGGTACACTTGGCTATCCAGAAACTCAAGCTTCAGGCATAGAGGTTATGCAGTCTTTTGCATGGCATCAGGGTTGAATTTCTAAGGCTGCCATGCATCCTTTTCAGGCTTTGCTTAGTCCCACAATGAACATTTATCAAAAGAACTGACACGATTTCAGCAATGGTGTTTTAAGCGAAGGATGAACCTACTTGGATCAGAAGTGCCAACCATAACTCGTTTTTTGACCTGGCTCTTTGGTGAGGGTTTTTGCATCTTCCACAATTGCCCTTGATAAGGTGGTCTTGTCGACTACTTTTCAATACTCACAACAAAATATTCTTTGAGTCCCCAGTATGCTCCGGATTCCTTTGTCCCAAACGACCATTCCAATTACCTAACTGGTGTATTAAGGTTACATTATATGCCCTTTCTCAACACCTGTTTGTGACCTGATTCTCATTTATAATGTATTAACTTTACCTGAAGATTTCTTTTTCATTGCTGCTGACCTACAGACATTGTTTGCTCTCAGACCGCTTTATCATTCTGCCTACGTCCTCAGACGTGTTTTTTTTTACCCAAGACACAGACAGGGAAGGGGATAAATTCTTTTCACTGATTCATCTGATCACTATTTCTCACTTCTGTGTCCAATCAGATTTCGATTGTTGTCATATTCAGTGAGGGTCTTGAAGGTTTTGTTGCCTGCACTAATACCTTTAGAGACAACTTCTTTTTATTCTAGGCTCTCTTTGAAGGCGAGAAGTCTGCTGCAAGTTTTGTCACATTTCTTTGTACTTAGTGGCCCAGTTGAATTACTTGCTGGAGTACATTGTGCAGAGTGGTATGTGTACCTCTCCAATACTTTTATCTCACATTATTTGCATGATCTGGCTGTATCTTCATCTGAGGGTTTTCTCTTACTCCCTGTAGCTATCTTAACCACTTCCACTAGATTATATATAGAGGGGTGAGTATTTTTATTTGCTACCTTTCGGGGTCCCTTACATCATTTTCATGGGATCCCACTCCGTGGCAAGTGTGCTTTTACCAAACCAATTCACCACTAGCAACCACTAATTCAATATACTTTATATAGGTTGCAACAGACTCTGTAGAAATGAGATATTCCATAAGACCACCTAGATGTTGACTGAATGGTGTTACTGGACTACTCATGGACTGTCATGAGTAAAGCATAAGGGGATCCTGCCTGTCCCTGATGATCATTGTATTGAATAAATTGGGGTCAGTTTGCTTTTTAAAATTTAGGAAACTTTGTTCACCTATTGCACTGTTTCCAGAGCACTGTTCCTCAGGGCTCCCCAGTGTACATTACCCCCACCACACACACACATTCTACTACTTGAGCTAAGGAGTCCTTACCACACCTGGTTTCCAGTTACTGGGGTGGTGGACTAAGGTTTTTCCTCCAGAGTGTTAGAGTGAATTCCTCCACTCTTGGAGAAGAGGGTGAAATTGGGGGCTTTGACTGGTGCCTCTCCTACTGACATCTGGGGAAAAACATCCAGGAACCTCAGAAGGAGAGGCACCAGTCAAAGCAAGAGCCTACTTGTAATACTAGTTCAGATTTGATGCTCTGCTATCCGGTTGGGTTGAGTGTGGCCCTTCTTTCTTGATCAATCTTGGTTCAGTACATTGTTTATGGAAGAGGGTCCATTGTCTCCTCGTAATTCTGAATGCAGAGTGGTCCCATCATGGGTCCTTGGTTGAGCAGTTTGGGTCACCCCATAATTCCGGGGGCAAGTGGAATTTACCTTGCCTACACGGTTGGGGAGTGAGGATGAGTGTTCATAATTCCAGACCAGATGAGTTCTGTTCCTTTGGTTGAGTACGGCATACACAATCCCATCATTCCTAGCCTAGGGTGTTGCCTTTCGGAGAGATTTCGTCCACTCAAGTGTTGTTTACCTTCTCATCATGATTTCAGTGGCTCAGAATGCATCACTTTATGGCTACAGGTTGGTGTCTGCTAATAAGTGTTTGTGTGTGTGTGTGTAGATATAATATATATATATATATAGTAGTCGTGTGAGCGTCGACCGAGGACACCGAGGGAGGGTTAGAGG